CAAAATTTTGTGAAAAATATACATACTATATTAAATATTAGTGGAATGGAAACTATAAAGACTTTAAATGAGTTCCAAGAGGTCATGTGATCGGTCAAATTACGGAGTCCATGTTGAGAGAGTTAATCAATCACTCAGTTCATATTTATAGAAATCTGGCATATCTAACAGATAATCCATTAAGTCCCCAGAAAGACAATATGATTGGCTCTTGAGCTTATGTTCATAAATGAGCACTTGGTATAGGTGGAGTTATATCTTTAGAGTTTATGGCATTTCATTTCAGTGTGTAATATGGTCGCCATAGACAGCAAGGGCAGTGTGGCACAAAAGATGCACTTTAAGGTTACAGTATCCTCAGTTGCTCCTTTGAAAGAGCTGTTTTCAAGACATTTTTAGTGTATGAAGCCACTTGATGAGATAAGATTAATTTCCCAATAGCATCAAAGTCTGATGAGCAAGACATTCTATTTGATCAACCAGTTTAGCAACTGGCACCACAAAGGATTCTACAATGTGATTCCTATTTCACAGGATGTAAAGGTCAGTACCTCCACAAATATATATTCATGCCTATAGCATGCATATACCATCACTAAATATATCATATGCCTTATGAAAATAAGATTGGACCTCCATACATTGTTGATCCACTAAATGTTTTTTTTTGGTACCAGAGCAGGTAAGCTGTCCTTTTCCTTTCTGTGAGCATACTGCACCTCAAGGAAAAACCTGCATACAAGCTGATACTGTTAACCATATCACCCTTGGTATCCTTTACTGCGCATGACACAAGGTTTTAGTGTCTTACATTCAAAATTTTATAAAACTACTTTTTGTTTATGTTATACCAATTAGAATAGCATAAAATCTTGGCTAATAATCCATATTTTAATAATATACAAGTTTTAAGTTCTTAATTCTACAAGGCAAAATAAAAAAAACTTGATTTCCACTAGTGTGACCCACGTGACACATTTTCTCTTAGCACATCCTCATCCCTATTTTATCCACCACCCTTCGAAAAAGTACGAAATTAAATGTAAATTACTTTATAAATTTGTTATTGCTCAGACAAACCATAATTTTTACAGTCTTCAATTTTATTTGGTTGCAGAGCTATTGAATAGAAAATCAGACTACCCTCCTGTCACATTCTCTCTTTCAGAATTCGTTGATAGTTCTCTCTTACATTTCCTTATATATTATATATTACCTATAACCAATAGAAAGTCAAGGTTTTCAACTATGAAATGACATATTGTATAAAGTTGTGTTCTGAACAGATAAGCCTCAATTTCATTCAGAGTACAAGATTCGTTCCTGTGGGAATGTTAAGGACTAGCTTGGATGAATTTGTAACGGCTCTTGTCGCATAGTTAGAAAGGCAGAAAAATTTTGAGAGGTAAAGGACTTTGTCTACATTTTTCATGTTATTAGTCTATACTCTTTAGTACATTATTTAATTCAATAAAAATTATTAAGTGCATTACCAGCATCAGCATAAAAAATTAAGCTTAACTGTCATTGACAATTGAGAGCAAGAAAGAAGAAGATTGGGTAAGTACTTTATGTCTTGTTTTTCATATTTATTCTTTATTTATTATTATAAAAGTAACTAAAATTCAAAAATATGGATCTTTTTAAGTTATTTAAAACTAGATTAGGTAAAATAAGTAAAATTATTATATTATGATTAAAATAGTTCATGAGGCATGCATGTGAGCAGCTCAGAGTAGCTCATGGGTAATGTAATTGAATAGTGTAACATGAGCTGCACATTCACCGAGTGATGTACAACTTAATGGCATGGATAGTAGTTAAACACAGTTCAAAGGGCAATAAAACAATAAAATGTAATTGTAAATAGATGTATACTGTTATAATTTGAAGTCATTCTAGAAAGAAAAAAAGGGCACTTTCGGTATATTTAAATTTTTTTTGGTGGTTATGAGATCGGTCGAATTGACCAATCCTGTTTTGAGATAGGGTAGAGAAAAAACCCAATAAACTATAAAGTTTTACTGACAAAAAAACGTTTGAAATGCATTCAGGAGGTTTTAGGGATTACATAAAGGAAATTTGAGATTTTTGAGATGATGAAAAGTATTTTTAATTTTAACATGAAAATTACTTTGCACATTTTACTCAATATATTCATGGACAAATCTATATTTTATTTTATTCAAAATACTTTTCTAAAAAATGTTTTTTTTTATGTGAAAGGCTTATAATATTAACTGAAAGACTGCCAAATTTTGTGAAGATATACACATTATATTGAAAGTTAGAAGTATTAAATCTATAAAGACTTTAAACGAGTACAAAGAGGTCACGTGGTCGGTCAAACTGACCGAGCCCATGTTAAGAGAGTTAAAGCCTGATTTTGTCTGTACATTAACTAACATGCATCAAGTTATGGCTGAATCTAATTTAGCTTGGGAACAGGTGCCTTATGAATGAAACAAACCAGAATTGACAGTGAACAGTTGTCTGCTTGAGTGATGGATAATGATTTGCTTTGTCCAGGTGCTTGAGAAACTGTACCACTTGTTTCAAAGTAGTTTCACACTCTGAAAATGGCACTTTGAGATACCCATAACCAGTCAACTGCTGTGGCTGAATCTCTTCCATTCATCCAATGGATCTCCACATGAGTGAATCATTCAAATGTCTTTTTTGAGACCTGACAATGGTTTATGAACAATTTGGAGCACAATCTTAAAATCTATGATTAACTTCAAAGTGGAAGATGAGGAAAACCTGTTTAAGACCACTATTATATAATATAGACTGAATGATCCATCATTTTTCATATCAAAACACACAAGAAATCACATGATATCAAAATTGCATAAAAAGGAAGGTGATCAATATTACCTTATAACAGCAATTTTGCCTTGTTATACCAAACATATTATCATTTTCAATTACCCCTTAGTTGTTTTATGTAGTATATAAACAATGAAGAGGGTGTAGCATTTCACACTATATATTATCATGAGAACTTGAATGGTAATAATCTCTTACACAAATTCAATGGAATAACAAGTGTAATTCCTTACAAGCACTCACCATCAGTCTTGAGTTCCTGTTTCACAACTTATAATACTAATCACACAACACCAATAGAAAATCCTTACAATTAAATCTTGTCATTGCTATAAATCTAAACAACTGAATATCTTTAAATCATTTTTTTTTTTACTTTAGACAATAGAAATAAGGCTAATTTGGAAGAAGTAGGGTAATTCTGCAAAAATGTTGGGAAATGAAAAGGAAATACCCATATTTTTGTAATAATGTAGTTTATATTCTGCTGGTACTTATTAGGTAGTGAATTACTTGCAAAGGAATTACACAAATAAACAAGAAAGAATTTCATCATTTTGGCAGATTTCATTTGACTTTGCTGCAGCCTGTTCAGCAAAGAGTTTCAATGTTCTAGTATTCAGACTCAATAGGTCAGAAAACTTTGTTAGGACGCCTGCTGTTCTTTACTAAGCCAAGGACTAAGGCTAACCATCAGGTTGAAACAATCTTTATATACATAGTGCAATGCTTCTGACATGTACATGTATGCAAAGTCTCACATTATGAAAATTGTGATTTATTACAACACAGCTCACTAGTCACATACAATTGTATGTATGTCACTTGAATTATAAAAGGTATGACAATGAAGTCCTTCATCAGTCAGATATGTATACAGATATATCTAAGTTTATGCTTTCAAAGTATGCATTTTGTTACTCTCAATCCAAACAAAATCATTTCAAATCCCAAAGTACATTGAACATAAGAAAGTTATATGTCATCATAACTATAATACTTCACTGTTAAGCATGAATAATTACACAGAGTAAGTGGATACATGTTTTACATAGTTTTAGTATTCTTTGATATACACACCTCATAGATATAACTTCTTTATACAAGTACATGCACATGCTACACTTAAGCACATGCATGAATTTCTAACTTATGTCTGTGGATGAACATACTCATATTAAAATTTGATTTGATGACGAGGAACCCACTTTGAGACTAATAATGGCTGGAGACAGCTTAAATGGGTAATGAAGAAAACTTTAA